GGAAACATGTGTAAGAATGGGAAACAAAGTAACAAATACAAAACGTTTTGTGTGCAGCAATCGGAAACATGTGTAAGAATGGGAAATAAAGTAACAAATACAAAACGTTTTGTGTGCAGCAATCGGAAACATGTGTAAGAATGGGAAACAAAGTAAAAATATAAAATGTAACAAATACAAAATGACTATTTATACCTGTCTAACATGTTTGTTAAAGTCCGACCACCTTCTTGATTTTCAGACGAAAGTACCTCTATGTGAAAATGAAGATAGTAACAAGGCTTTGCAGGAGGTAATTTTTATTACAAGTGTATACAGTACTCACGTGGTGCGCGCATGTCTATCTCTCATCTCCCTGTACGAGACCTCACTCAATAGCAATTATGACGAACTGTGCGTGAGCAAATTCGAAATGTCGCTTGCTAGATTTGTATGATATCAAAATGACCATGAATAACAAATGTATGATAGCGACCTTAATTAATTAAAATGTGTTATTTTATTTTGAATGAAATAATCTTTTATCAACACGCACAAATATACAATGAAATACTGTTATTTATGATGAGCTGTTCCTGATTTAGTTATGCGTACTGTACGTACCATGGTTTACAATGCGTACTGTACGTACCATGGTTTACAATGCGTACTGTACGTACCATGGTTTACAATGCGTACTGTACGTACCATGGTTTACAATGTCGAAACATACCATACATTTATTCTGTACAAGTTTCCTTTCTGTAACAATAATTTCATCCGTTTTCAGAAACCGAAATCTTGTCTTCATATATGTGGTGTTCTCTGTCATCATATCGTTCTCACTGTGGGCAGCTGTTAAACGGACCATTACCGAGGATGGTTTGTATTCTCCTCTGTTTTAATTGGATGTTATTTGGTATCGTCACACAAACACCTTTTTAAAATATGCATTGGTCTAGGTCATGGAAGTATGAGGATATTTTTGTAATTTTGCTTTGACTGTTAATAAATTGTGTGGACTTCTCATCAGTTAATCCAGGTCGTGAACGAAATCATTAATATAGTGAAAGTATCAGAGTTAGGTCCCTAATAATGACGCACTGTAATAGAGAATTGAGCATTTCCAAACGATTTGCTAATAATTTCATCAAAACAATATTTCATAGAGGAATATGTTTATTAGGGACAATATATTAGATATAAGCAAACGAACCGGTTTGGGATGATTATATAAACAGCGAAAGTAAGGTACAGTCAGATTTATTTTGTTTAATATTATTTTTACAATATCGTTTATAAGTTATTTTATTTGTATTTTAATTTTCTACCTTTAAGATTGGATTGCCCTCGCTTCATTTGACTCACACAGTTTAAATTTAATATTAGGTTGTTTTTCGATTGTCTGCGATATACCTTCTACAAAATACAAATTAGACATAAAAGGGGAATGGCTTGGTGTAAAATTAGCTATTTATGCTGGACATGTTATCCTTGACATGTGTTGTTACCCTCCTTTTTAGGTAATAAATACGAGTTACTTTTCATAGGCAATGTACCCAATATGAATTTAAGAATTAAGACAATAATACACGACACAGATGTCAAGGGACAACATATAAATCGTTTATCTTAATTCCCGAATGGTTGAACACAAATTGCATTATCTTAAAAAAAAAGTTAATCAAAAGTTACTTGTTACATTCTAGTGGAAGATCCGCATCGGTTAAATCATCATGGGGTTAAAACTGTTTTAGAGGAATTTAGTAAAGCAGTAGCTATATGCATAATTCACACTGAGCTCTTTTTTATTTAACTAAATGAACATGATTTACATCGTTATAGGTTGGAATACAGACTATGTACGATATTTCAGGTATATTAGTGGTATGAAAATCAGATACGCGGGTTCTTTCTGCAATACGGTATAATATCAATATATTACAACTGTTATTGATTCATATTCTAACACAATAAAGCGAATTACTTCGTGCTGTTATAGTAATGTCAGTTGCACAAATAAATTTCCCCCAACAAAGATACACATTACTAAACGTTGATCATCATAAAAAGTTGTTTTTTTGTTATTTATTCATCGCTTTTTCTTTACAGTTTCATCCCGAAAAACAAATCGACGGAACATAAATGCAATTAATCAATATCTACTCCAGCGTAACAATTTCTCAGTAAAAGCTCAGATATCGAATTGGAAGAAGACAAAACTCAAAGGCGACAACGTCGTTAAAAATGCACCACAGCATCCTGCATTGGTATGGTGGGCCCCTGTTTCCGGTATGATGGATCATGGGATTACATGTGGCGATGAAGCGTGTGATGTGTCGGTTAGAAGAGGCTTGAAGAATGACCCAAACGTACGAGTAAGTGTTAATGTATTACTATACCCTCCTTACGTAAGTTCTAACTATTTACAGACAACGTTATACAAAAAGCAAACATTGTGTCCAAACGTGTTCAATGTCGACTTATTGCAGGCATTCCTCTTCTATGGAACGGAGTTTGAATTTAGCCATCTTCCATTACCACGCCTACCCCGTCATTTGTGGGCCCTCGAGCACGATGAGTCACCCAAAAATAACGAATTTATTTTCTCGCACGAGGAAGTTATGACCCTGTTTAACTATACCTCAACATTTAAGGTAAGTCATCCAGCAATACAGGAACGTAGCAGCTCTCCTTGTATTTCAAAGGATATATCAAATATACATAAGTACACTTTATATTATGGGAAATATGCCTGGATTTTGTCTTTATATGATCATGCAGTTTAAAAAATCTGAAACAGTTTCATCTTGTTACTAGTGATAATCTGTCTTGTAAAATTATAGTAACACATACCTCTGTCCTTGTTATCGTATTCGTTAGAAATCATTGAATTGTTTCTTGAGTGTAAGGCACCAATAGAAACCGTTCCTATCTGGACGTATCTTCCATTACAGCGCGAGTCTTCCTACCCCGTGACGACCATGGCACTTCCTAGTGTGACCTGGCTTCAGAGTACGGAGTACTTTCTGACGTCTGCTCGCAAGAACGAACTGCAGAATAGAAAGGGTCTGGCGCCTGTGCTGTTTGTACACAGTGACTGTAACGTTCCCTCCGCACGAGACGAATACCTGTCAATGCTTCAAAAGTTTATTAAGGTGGACGTGTACGGCAGGTGTCACACCAACAAAGAGTTGCCCACTCAGTAAGTATTTCACCGCGTTTTATCATGTCTCCTAGCACCAAGACGCTGCCGCTCAGTAAGTAAATCGACACTTCTTAACCACGTCTCCTAGCGACAGGACGCTGCCGCTGAATAAGTATTACACCATTTCTTATAATGTCTCCAAGCAACAAAACGCTGCCGCTGAGAAAGTACTACACCACCTCTTGGTATGTCTCATGACAACACGAAGGTACCCATTGTCAGAAGAAACAAGACAGTATCTCCATACCCACATTAACACGTTTACAATGAAAATATATAATCTCAAGTTTTGTAAATCAGCAGTGCGTAATTAAAATACGCACTTTTATCCCAATTATCTTACCATCACGCCATCCTCCTGTTGGGTTAGTTTGACGAGTCGTTGCTGCACAACTTAGCCATTTTTAATGATTTGTAAAGCAGCTACAAATATGATTTTAACAATATTTGCGACCGAATTTGCAGTCAATCCGCCTTAAACAGATCAGATAAGTATGTCATATGAAAAGACACATGTGTCCATTCCTTTCATCATTGAATATAAAATCCAGTACGAATGTATAATCTATAACGCGAAGTTTGGATATAAAATCCAGTACGAATGTATCCATAACGCGAAGTTTGGATATAAAATCCAGCACGAATGTATCTATAATGCGAAGGTTGGATATAAAATCCAGGACGAAAGTATCTATAACGCGAAGTTTGGATATAAAATCCAGCACGAATGTATCTATAACGCGAAGTTTGGATATAAAATCCAGTACGAAAGTATCTATAACGCGAAGTTTGGATATAAAATCCAGCACGAATGTATCTATAACGCGAAGTTTGGATATAAAATCCAGCACGAATGTATCTATAACGCGAGGTTTGCACTTTAATTCACTGATATTTCTACAATTCGAATAAATAAACTAACGTGTCAATTGGATGCCTTTTATTCTAGTTTACGGGGAATGGAGAAATACCAGAAGAAAGATTTCTTCAAATTTGTAGCACAGTACAAGTTTGCCTTCGCCTTTGAGAACGCCGTCTGCGATGACTATATGACCGAAAAGCTGTGGCGGCCATTTCATCTAGGTGTTGTCCCTATTGTCTTCGGATCACCAAAGGTCAAGGTAATGTCGAATTTCGGCGCTTCCTGTGTATACAGATGTTTCAGTTAAATAGGAACCTACGATTAAAAACGTTAATTTGAGAAGGTATTTTTGTTCAATAACTTCCATCATTAAGACATATGTAAAATCTCATGAACCAAGAATTTGTGAAACTTGTTTCAAATGTTTAATGAATAAATGGATTCTCTTACGAGTTACGAAAAATGGTCAATACTTTTTGAAAATCCACTGAACAAAAACAGGAAATATGTAGGAGAGACTTACAAGAAAAATGCAAACAATTGTTATATTTCCCTTCTTCTTTTAGGAATTCCTCCCCAGCGACAAGTCCGCTTTAGTCGTAGATGATTTCCCTAGTGTAGAGAAACTTGCAGCGACAATCAAAAACATGGATGAAAACGATTATATATATGACGAATACTTAAACTTCAAAACGGATAAAAACGGCATTACCAATAAAAATCTTTTGCAGATTTTAAATGAGAGGGAATGGTCTATGAATGGAGAAGATCGTTCGAAGAAATTCGGTAACCATTTTGCTGGATTTGAATGTTTTATGTGTAGAAAAGTTCACGAAAATATACGCCGTGAGAGTGAGGGAAACCCTCCTTTGATCTCCGTGGCAGGAAAGGACCATTACGGTTGTCCCAGACCAAAGAGTTTCAATGAGCAGGGACAGTATGTGGAGAACAATAAGAACTACGATAGTGTTTACACACAATCCCATTTCAGTGCGATAGCCTTCAGGCACTTCTACGACACCAGTAACATCACATTTACTAACAGAGATGTCAATCAGCTTGCTGATACATTGAAGAGACATGACCAGATGAGGTCGCAATGAGTCCATTGGCCGGCTCAGTTCCAACACATGGTACATTAGGGGGTGTTGCAGACTGACTAAACGAAACTTACAGGAAAATACACCAGTGACAATTAACCAATGTCAACATTTATCAAAGGAAACAGTATCCTGCTTTTCTATAATAGATATGGTCATGCGCGATAAGGTTTGCCCATCTAAGATATAATATGTAATCATGTTCACTACATTCATCTTACACGGGCTGATCACAATGCGAATGAAAAAATATCAGATATTTGTTTGTTATGCATTCGTTAAACTATTAATTTATTTATCATATGTACAAAGGCAGTGCTTGATGAAATATAAGATGTTTGCAAAGTACGTACATTACAGTCATAGTACACGTATCAAGATACTATATGTATCTACCAATGAGTAAAGTACAGTAGGCTTATCGTACGATGCTTAGTCATGGCGTCCAATACTAGTCTTGAGAAAAAACAGTGTAGGTAACGGGTAACCGGAGGTTTTCAGTGAAATGGTTTGTCTTCCTGCAGGCAGCGATATTGTAGTTTCATGCTGTGCAGAATTCAGTCCAGTTTGTTTCATACGAAAACAAGAAAACTGCAAGATTGCGAGCGCCAGTGAGTGTTGTGGACCTCGAATATTTGATTTTGATAAAAGGATCTTAGAGCAATTTACTCTTTCAAATGTAAAGGTAGGCTGGCAAAGACCTCATTGCGTGTGGATCAAACTTTGGGTAAACCACAGAGACTCGCATATTTACATATCAGATTTTACATGTAATTTAAGATTTCCTCGAGAAGAATTATCTATCAATTACCAATTACATTTGGAAGATTCTTATATTTCTTCACAAATGCTTCTTAACCGTTTCATATTGGGCGTTCAATCAAATCATCGAAACATAATGTCAGGCGTGCACGGTTTGTAGGGGACCGTTTATTACACTATTATTGATGTCAACTTTGCGTAGAGATTTCTGTATGCCTTGACACAATAGATAATGAATTATTTCTCATAGTTTATATATTACCTAGATTACGCACAGTAAAAACGAATGTCAGCTCTACATTATTATTAATTTATTAGGTTGATATTTCTCCGTATTTTATGAATGAATATGATATTGTGTTTGAATCTTGAACCGGTACAATAGTTTGTTAATTGCCTCTGACGCCGATTTGGGTTAGTCGTTCATAATATCTATTTAAGATTTTAATTTCTGTGTAAGAAAAAGTATGTTCGTGACATCAGTAGAAAGGCCTTGTTATATACCAGCTCACAACAAATAAACATACAAACATTAACATGCTCATATCAGGCGGAGTTGTAGCGTGTATATACTTATTTAGTTATTTTTCTGTGCTGTTATTGAATATTACTCTCATGTGGAAAATTAAAGAAAAAGATGCATGCATATTGTCTCTGTGTACGTAACAGTGCTAGAGTTTTGCTAGAAGGTCGGAAATTATATTTTAATAATGAAATCTATAGTCATTGTAATGTTTTACAACTAAATCATCCCCAGTGAGGCACGGTAGTCTAGTGGTAGGACGCCGGGCTCGTTACCGAAGGGTTGCGGGTCGAGTCACGGCAGGGCACTGTGTTGTATCTTTGAGCAAGATACTTTACTCCGCTTGTTCCAGTCTACTCAGCTGTAAATGAGTACGTGGTTGGGTAGTGCTAGAATTGTAGAATGCTAGCTGTGAGCGCTGAAATGGCAGCACCGGCTGTATGCTCCCCAGGGAATCGAGAAAGATATTGGCTGGTTGCAAAGGCCCTATAACCACGGATAATAATTTGTGAACCGCTTTGAGACAACCTACTAACTAGGTTGTGATAAAGTGGTATATCAGAACCTCGAATTATTATTATTATTACAATACTCCATGGGTTACACTCACGCTCTCTGCACCCCTGGAATATATATCATGACAACAAAATTGAAGGCACAAAGATTGCTATTTGATTGATCTCGGGTAAAAAAATCACCAATTGCTAGGATGATTTATCTGTCTTTTAAAGATTGCAGAGGAGTGACACCCGACTTCAAAGCCAGTTGATTTTACCATATTGATGTCAAGCGATTCTTTTGATGTACATCAAAGGACCAGACTAGTCTACTTGTATCATCCAGAAGTAGGATGCGCACACTGAGCCTTCGATTTTGTCATGACACAATCCAGGGTTTAGTGTATTCGCTGAGTTGTCCTTAAATCACCATATAATTGTTTTTTTGTTTAACAATATATCTACCAGCGTTTTTAGATAAAATTTTAAACAATGGAAGCGATCGATGTTACCTTTACGGTAACCCCTGATACTTTTGGGAAAGGAGTGGTGGTTAGATTCGGTCGGGACACTGCAATAAACGAAATGGTGTACATAGATCATTTATCCAGTTCTATGATACAGACACGTTTGCTGTTCGATCGGCTGGCACTGCGATAGACTAGATGGTCAATTAGATACGTCAACGATTTGTCGACACAGCGACAAGTCAGCGCAGTCAAGCTCATCATTGTTGTTACAGATCGTTTGGCAGCTGATACATATAAAATTACTAGGTCATACAGAAAATTCATAAAAACCACTGAATCATAATAAGCTCACCTTTACTCAAAAGTATCTTTAATCAGTCCATATCGATAGGTTTTGGTTTGCCTAAAGCATGTTTTGTCATGTCATCACAGCTGGTGTTAAATAAATATTGTTCTCTGTTGTAATAAGCAGTACATCTGGCACCCAGGCTACACGTCCATAACATACCCATCTCAACTTTGCTAATACGTACTAGACGTTATCAACATCATTTACATGATCATGTACATTTATCGGCTCGGGCATATATGCAACCATACCTTTAAAATGTGAGTCCCAACATAATTCCCAACACTGCCTGAAAACTTTAACCATACATGCATTGGACTGAGTTTGCCTGAAGTAGATATTGTTTCAAAAGAAGCCCATGCAATGCAAAACGTTCGAGGATTTTGCGGGAAATGATGAAGATGTCATTTTAAAGCCGGCTTTTAAATTAAAAAAAGATGAAGCAGGCCGTTCTCAGTTGATGTAACAATAAGTATTTGAAATATAACACAGAAACCAACACAGGTTCCAACATCATTTCATAAAGGAGATTATCCAAAAATAATACAAAATATTTGCATTAAGAATAGTATATGATACGGACTGTTCTTTTATGAAAATGATAATAATAAAGATGAAGCTAGAAATTGTTGGCTAAAAATTTGACGGGCTTTTTACCATTAGGACTGATTTGGTCTGTGATCACAAACATATGTTTTAAAACCTCATGGTCTTTACCTCTATGGAGAAAAGGACAATATAAACCATAGCTTTGTTTTCATTAAATATTTTACTTTTTTTAGACATTTGACCTCTATGACCTTGCAAATCAATAATTTTGTCAAACGTGATAGCTCTACATCTCAGCATCGTACGTATCAAATAACAAGACTCTAGACCTTGAACAACTTGAAAACAAACTCTTCAAAGTTTGTTCTCAAAATTAAGTGCATTTGAACTTTGACCCCTACCGAAAGTAGACCTTTGACACAAAAATGTTTCTGGAGAAAAAGTTTTGCATTATTAGTGTTCATAACATATTCAAAGAAGAATTTGGTTGCTTTATTCGTTGAAGAGTTATTGCAATTAGGAAAAAACGGATACGACGCCATAGCGGCCATCTTGGATTTGGGATAAAATTAAAAGTTATCGAAAATTTCGTAGGTAGTCTGGGAAAACAAAAATATCTACACTAGATGAAATCTGCATAGCAGAACATCAGAAAAAAAAATGGTTTTAACATATTGTCGGCTTTTCAAAAAGATCAGAGGGAAACATTCAAAATGGTGTATAATGTTAACGGTGAATGTTACAGAAAAACTGAAGACGTCAATTCCATCAAGATGATACTCTCCGTCAAATACACACAAAAAATCAAACATCTTGAATATTAAAAAAGTTTAAAAATTGGTGACCTTTAACCCGACAGCGAGGATTTTTTGACCTACTTGAAAATGTTGCAGTGACACCTTTTGACCTTGGCCTACAATATACTTGTAAGAGTATAATATAAACATATCTGCTTCCAAATAAAGATTGGGTGGCCACAAAATCGTGGAAGAAGAAGATGGACGTTCGAACGGCCTACGCTACGAAGTCATTGATGTTTACAGTACGAAGTAAGAGGAATCGGTCAAGATGAGAAAAACTACAAGAAAACTTATTAACTGTAAACGAACGCTGCAAAAGTACACTACTCCGTTTTTTCTGTTAAAAACACGTCTGCCATATTATTACAAGTGACCTCGCCATTGATGACAATAACAAGCTTCAAGGTTTAGCTTCTGAAGGATTTAAATATCGAATACTGCTAAACAAGGTTTGGAAGCTTAAATATATATTCATTATGGATAGTGGCCAAGACTTTGCAATGAGATTGTAAAATAGGGGAGGATGGATTAAATATATTTGGTATCATTTAAAATTTTGATATTTTTTTTCTCTCAATTTTAACAAATTCTATTGACAGTTTGAAGAATAACTGGACAATAGACTTAAAGCTTAATTAATGCTCTGTTGGTGGCATTGTATGTTTTAATTGTATGGAGCATGGAGAGTGTCAGAGAATACAAACATGTAGCGAACGGGTTTTAATTGTATGGAGCATGGAGAGTGTCAGAGAATACAAACATGTAGCGAACGGGTTTTAATTGTATGGAGCATGGAGAGTGTCAGAGAATACAAACATGTAGCGAACGGGTTTTAATTGTATGGAGCATGGAGAGTGTCAGAGAATACAAACATGTAGCGAACGGGTTTTAATTGTATGGAGCATGGAGAGTGTCAGAGAATACAAACATGTAGCGAACGGGTTTTAATTGTATGGAGCATGGAGAGTGTCAGAGAATACAAACATGTAGCGAACGGGTTTTAATTGTATGGAGCATGGAGAGTGTCAGAGAATACAAACATGTAGCGAACGTACCATAGTGTTCAGCCAGAAATGTACTCTTGTATGGGGTTATATATATAGTTGCTATCGTATCATGTATATGTAAGATTTATTAGGTACAAAACGTTTTTAAGATATTCAAATGCCTTTTAGTCTCAACACGATGGATGTATATTAGAACTGAATTAAAACTTTCAACAGTTATACTCTCGCTACACAGTCAAATGAAAGTGATTACTTTACAACAACTTCGATTTTATTTCGGATATTGCGTGTTGAAATGTAAACAAGGACAAAGAAGAGATGATAGTAAGACGGTTTCTTGGTTTGACCACTAATACACATAGGGTTATCCGTTATGTGGTGTGATCAATATATGTAGGTCAAAACTAACATTGATACATCCATTCCAGAGCTCACAAACTATGATAATACATTGTCTTTGTACCTTCTTTTTGAAAACTTTTTAAATAGTCGCATATGTTCCTCTCTTCATCATGATTCGAATATCCAGGACGAGCAAGATTATACTGGCAAGCACTGCTGGTGTCTGTTTTTCACCCTACACTAGCTGTCAAGGAAAACTATCCCAAAAGCTTGTAAAACTTCTAACATCAACTGTTTACAACTTGAACACTATTGTAGAAGTACTATAAAGAGCGCTGTTTAACCACTATTGTAGAAGTGCTATAAAGAGCGCTGTTTTACCACTATTGTAGAAGTACTATGAAGAGCGCTGTTTTACCAATATTTCTGTTCATACCACATTAACACAATACATCTACAGCTAGCTGGATTTCCTCTACATAGGTTACTTCATAGGAATCCTTACAAAACACTGTTTGTTACGGGATCTTCTATTCCGTCACAAAATAACTTCGAGTATTCGGTCTTTGCTGTACACCAATGGATGTATACAAATGTAAAATATAAGACAGTTTGTAATGGATGCACGCAGAACGATAAAATAGGACCATGTACTGAAATCTTGCTGAGGAAGATCAATTAGGAAAATAATCAAGAAATTCGGGCTGGTATCATCTCCCGGGTTTACTTTTTAAAATCACCCTAGCTTATTTATTATTGTGTATATTTTTTTTTTTATACAAGACTGTAATTTATACAATTTCATTTTGTGAAAATTATTACCGATTCCGCATCATCGGTATCTCTATGATATTGTTTTGTCCTTAGATTCCAGGAGCGAAAAAGAACTAGAACATTCACCATAAACTATTTTATTTTCCTCTAATCAAGCGACCGGAAATTCTTATGTCTAAATATTAAATACAAAGCGTGTTCGTTGTTTTTATGTCGGAATAAAGCTACAAAGTATCGCTTCCAACTTTTCCTAGTAGTCGATACGCACACGAAATGCAGCGATTAGTATGCCTAAATGTGTCTATGGTCGCAGAAGTTTCCTGGAATTTTGATAGAGTTAATATAGATAGATACGACTTTATATTATTCGAATACAGAAAATAATTTTGTGTCATAACGATCTCCTTTCATATATACTGGAGTTTCAGGTACGTAGCTTTTAGTATAAAAAATACTTGATCTAGAAGACATGTTGGAAGAGTAGATTCTCTGTGGTAAGATATAAATGATTTCTGCCAGATACAGGAGATCAAACCAAAACCATGTCGAAAAATCTAGGAACGGCAACAACCTTTAATGATCCAATCTTCTTTAAAATACATTTTAGGTTAGTGATAAATGATCGATATTTGGTCTGGTTAGAATGAATGGCCTTGACATATTTTAAGAATTAGTAAAATCATACTACATAGGTTTTCAACAGCAATTTTTAGTTCTGAAGTTCCAGCAGACCGTTAAAAGCTACAAGAAGATTTATGATTTAATTTGGATCTTTAAACTATTTTCTGAAAAGTCCCTCACTCCACCTGGTTAGCCAACACAAATGTTGTTTTATGGACTTTTCACGACTACGATGCAAGGGAGGTAACCAATGAAACGTCATCATTCCCACCAAACCGAACCGAGATGTCTCTGTGATTTCTATTGGCTACACGATATTTGCGACTTTTAGTAGGAAATTTACTTTTTTTTCTAAATAAGATATTTTTTTTCTGTTTGTAAAAAAATACTGGAATTGTGTTTACTTTGCAATTATCTTTTTTTTGTCGAATATATCTTGTATTTCGACATAAGAAACCAATTCAGTCCCAACCAATCACATTTGTTATTACAACAGAATCCTACTTCCTGTAACATGTAAAACAAAATGGATGGCAATAAGGACGAAAGCGAGCGATGTATATCACTTGCGAAGAAGTATTTGGCAGAAGGCGAGAAATCAAAAGCTTTAAAATTTCTCAATAAAGCAGAAAGGCTTTACCCTTCACAAAAAGCGAAAGGTAGGCAATCCATATTCTATCAGTATCGTGTCTAACGTTACGTCATAAACTTATTGATATCGTGTCACGGTTCGGATGATTGTTTCGGCGAAAAGGATACGTTCTAAGCACATTAGATAAATAAATGTTGAGCGGATTTACGTAGAACTATGTTGTAGTATGTGCGCTGAAACAAAGATTGCCTACAGATCTGATAAAATGTACGATGCAACAGCATGTCGGGGAAACCGTATCAAAACATTTTTGGATCCCTCCGGAATTCATACTGGTTAATTTTAAATACACTACTGTACAGTACTGTAAATATCATTTTAAAAACTTATCAAACCTTCATTGACTAAAAGGGAAAAGCATGAGTAATCCGGGATCTTGTTTCACTTATGATTTTATTTATAATTACAGAACTACAAACATGAATCTAACAAGACTTTCTGAAAATATATTACATTGTACATTATATATATATATATATTATATATCTATTATGTACTAGTTTTGTATTATTCTGACTGAGTCTGGTGAAGGGGATTGTACAAATCCTGTATCGGAAATGAACTAACCTTTCTTAGAAAGGAGGACAGACCCGGACTGGTCCAAAACGAAATGGGCACCACTAGGCATATTCTTCTTGCTTGTACAAATAGAATAGTTTGCAGTAACAAGCCAGACACAAATGTCTGTGCTGGCACGCTAGACGGACATCTTCCAACAACTAATTCAAGTTTTTTTTTACATAGGGAATATAGGTGTTCGAATATGCCCTGGGTACCTTCTAACAGTCTTAAGACAAAGGAGTCAATCCGTAAAACATGATAACCCATTACAAACAGATCCAGACACTTAAAGATCCCTGAAAATACCTTTTCCGTGCACAGTCATTGAATGAAATGCTCTACCTGTCTATATAGGCCATTCTCTTGGTGAATACTTGCAATGATTTTCAATCTACTTTTTAACCAACACATTTATCAATGATAAAAAAATTATCATGACAAAAAAAATCACTACTCAAAGTGTCACAAGATGAAGGTACAGTTGGATGACCAGATGGTTGCTCATGATCATGAGGTCCCTATCTTTTCACTACAATGTGTTTATAAACATGTTGTGTGCCCTTGGTTATGACTGTTACCTGCTTACAGATCATAACACAAAAGGAACATCACTCTGTCTTGATAGAAGCCTAGCATGGATTCCCTAGTAAAAAATCAGATGACACGCAACTTCTCTTTACAATACTTTGGCTTTCGAACAGCCCACATCGTGTAAAAATCAGCAGAGAATGACTTGTACAGGATTTCTGACGCCCTTCAGGCAATAGTGTTGCCTGGAATGCTGTACCATCAGAAGTTTGGCATATACAATGTACCAACATTTGAAGGTTCAAAGCAGCCCTGGCCAGTTTGTCAGTGTCTGGTCCCTTCATGCAGATCTGAAGCATCTTCCCCCCCCCCCCCCCCCCCCTTTTCTAATGTGATAGGGCTTTCATTTGACAATCCATTAGCTAGACACAACTGACCAGTTAGAATAACCAACATTGGTTATGAAAATTAGGTTTGTTGTTCTGATTATGAACTTCTCATATCAATGTCACACTTACAGTTGGAATCAGTCAAACGTTTAACAGATCAAATGTGTCACAATAACAGCTACATCTCCTCACTATTTCCAATCAGATACAGTTTACCTGGTTTTCTATGTATACCTGACTTATTGTTATACTTTTATACCTACATTATTTTGACAGCTGATGGGCATATCATGTACCCTCATGCTTTTGTTGTCTACTTTGGTAATAAGGATGCATTGGCTAATGTGATTAATTGTTGTATAAACGATAGATGTGCAATATGACCTTTAGAGATACACTGAAACTAAGCCTGTTTCCCTTTATCTTTTTTTCTAACTGGTTTTTAATTATAAAAGCAGTATGATACATCAGTGCTATTATGCGACAGTTTTTTTTACTGTTTGGTTATGAAATTGGCTAGAGAAACATTTCAAAGATGCATTGCATCAGTATAGTTCTATGCTTGAGTCATGATCAGTCAATTCGAAATATGCCAGTCTGACAAACATGTCCGGTTAAAAATACTGTTGGTCCTGCAACCACTATCATAATTCTGGACCAAATGTCCGGCGTATGTTTTTCTACCTTAGATTTGTCTGGACTCCTTGAGCCCCAACTTTGAATATGGCTGAAGCTAGCACCTACCTATTTTTTCAAAGCCCCAGTCCAAAGGTGTCCCCAAGAATAGTTTTACACCAATTACAATTTAATCTCAAAATTTGTGTGTTGCAATTTCATTCAAACAAGACAGCTCTTGTGTCGCCATGGGCTGAATTACTTAGAACTGAATTATAACAGAAACACAATGATACTTGCCAACCCTCCCTATATAGGAGGGAGACTCTTGATTTTGGACCCTTAAATTTAGTTTTTTCAACCAGTGAATTTGCTAAACTGTTTCTCTTTTCTAATATCTTACGATTTCATCTGAAAGAAGAACTCAATTTATGTCATTTTAAAGGTTTATTTTGTCTCTTTGTCTCATGCTCAAAATTAAAACATTAATAAATTGTGTGTATACACATACACACATTTTATTAATGTTTTAATTTTGAGCATGCAGCAAAAAGTTGGTAAGTATGCCATTTAAAAAAACAGATTTCAATGTGAAACATTTCAATAAAGTTATTCTAGAAGCAATTTGCACCAGTGTGAGCCTTTACTTCACCAGTTACAATATTAACACTTTGTATATAGCCAATACAATATAGCAATGTACACTGGTTTTTAACATTTTGTGTGTTATTTTTTTCAGAAATAATAGAAGAAATAACTACAATGAATGGAACAGCTACAGGAAAAAAAACACATTCTGAAGAGAGCACAAAAGAAAATGTTCGACAAAGGAAAAGTAGTACAGGACGGGGTGGCTCAGAGGAAAACAAGGGGGACTCTGATACAGTAGATAGGAGTTACACACAGGATCAGCTAGAGGCAGTCAAGAGGTGATATAGTCTTTATTCAAATGAAGATGCATCATATTACCGTATGGGGACCTAATAATTGTTCCTTTAAATTATTATATTTTCTTTAAGTTACTGTGTTTGTTTCCTAAGATTTGAAATGAGATACTTTAAAATCCTGTTTGAAATTTATACTCAGACTGAACTAAATCAAATGTTTCTATAAATTTATAAAATAGAATTCGTATAACGTCACATTTCTTCCTGATGAAATAAAACAGAGTTTGTCTTTGATAATATATGTCGCCATACATGTACAATTTCATATGTAGAATACCAGCACTACAAATCTAAAATTTCTAACAGACTGGCATATATTTAAAATGTTAAACATTTACTTTGCATGCCTTGACATATATATAGAATCTATAGCTCTGGACATCAGGCTAGTAAAATAACAATTCTTTACTTTTTCCTGCCATGCATTGAAAATCTGTATTTACAACAGTATCTCAAAATGAAAGCTTATATGCTGGTTTGATAATTGGAATTTGCTGCAGATAATATTCCTTGTCAATCATACATATATATTTATATATATATCTATAACGAGAGTGTGACCTATGATGCAATGTTGTCACATCCTAAACTAGATTGTACCAAAGCAGAAAGTAATGAACAATTTTAGTTTTTTGACCAGACTGTTGGTTCATAACACTAAGATATAACAAAGTTGTCTGATTTAATCACAGTAAGCTTTTCATAGTTACTGTTCCTTGTGCATTTTAAATTGTTAGTTCATCATTGAATTGTATACCATATTTATTTCTATCTTTTATATTTTTCTAACATTTCAGAACAAAGAAATGTAAAGATTATTATGATGTACTTGGGGTGCAGAAAGACGCCACAGAAAATGATTTAAAGAAGGCATACAGAAAACTAGCTTTACAGATGCATCCTGACAAGAATAAAGCCCCGGGAGCAACAGAAGCTTTTAAAGGTAGCATATATGTGTATGTCAACAAATCATCAGGTAGCATATATGTGTATGTCAACAAATCATCAGGTAACATACATGTGTATGTCAACAAATCAATAGGTAACATGCATGTGTATGTCAACAAATCAACAGGTAACATGCATGTGTATGTCAACAAATCATCAGGTAACATGCATGTGTATGTCAACGAATCATCAGGTAACTTACATGTGTATGTCAACAAATCATCAGGTAACATGCATGTGTATGTAAACAAATCATCAGGTAACATACATGTGTATGTAAACGAATCATCAGGTAACATACATGTGTATGTCAACAAATCATCAGGTAACATGCATGTGTATGTCAACAAATCATCAGGTAACATGCATGTGGATGTAAACAAATCATCAGGTAACATACATGTGTATGTAAACGAATCATCAGGTAACATACATGTGTATGTCAACAAATCATCAGGTAACATACATGTGTATGTCAACGAATCATCAGGTAACATGCATGTGTATGTCAACAAATTGTCAGAACTTTGAAGTCAATATGTTGTAATGTCCAAAGTTTGTGGTTTATTAATATGACATATATTAATATATAATATAATATATCAATAATACACAAATTGTTGGGTCCATTCATACAGACCCCTAATAAAACATTCTCTTACATTAATTAATCAGACCGGGGTAGTCCCTACAAATTTACAAGTGAAAAGTACTGAAAGTAATTTGTGTTGTATTGCAGCGATTGGCAATGCATTTTCTGTGCTCAATGACACAGAAAAGAGAAGAAAGTATGATTTGTATGGTCCTGAAACTGATACAACTTCAGACCCAAGGAGAGGTCAACAGCATGGCTACTCACACGGTTTTGAAGGTAAATATTGCCATTTGGTTCCCGTTTCAGACACAGGTGTGTACGTGTACCTTCCTGTAAATTGAGTGGGCCTCAAAAATTCCATTCTTCCAATTCATTCCATTTTTTTCTAAGATGACTGCTTGATAACTGTACTCATTTACTTTCTTACCATTTCTACTATCCATAGATTTTTTCCTATCAATATTAAAAAGTAAAAACCTTCATATTGCTTTGTATTTTGATTTAGGAAGCTGTTAAATAGATCCAAGTTCTCTCACACTGTTCTGGTAGAACACTGGTTTTATGAAAGCCTTATATGTGTTAGAGCAAAAAAATATGGTGTTGTGTACCTAATTTTATTTGATTATTATCCCCCCCGCTTTCACCGAAACGGGGGATATTAATTTGTCTGTCTGTCTGTCCTTCTGTTTGTCTGTCTCCGCAAATGTTAACTGATTTTCTTCAAACTTGGTCACAGGGTTAAATGCCTCAAAACTCGGCCAAGTTCGATGACCACTTTCAGTTGACTCCATTTGGCGGAGTTATGGCCCCTTGAATAACGAAAAACGATATTAACTGCCGCGCTTCGTTTCCGTGCAATAACTACAACAAATGTTAACCGATTTTCTTCAAACTTGGTCACAGGGTTAATTGCCTTAAAACTCGGCCAAGTTCGATGACCACTTTCAGTTGACCCCATTTGGCGGAGTTATGGCCCCTTGAATAACGAAAAACGTCATTAACTGCCGCGCTTTGTTTCCGTGCAATAACTACAACAAATGTTAACCGATTTTCTTCAAACTTTTTTTTTGTTTGTCTTGACAGTTTTTTTAACATTCTCATATAATTACATCGATTTGGGTACCAATGCAGAAAAACAATTATTTTCTTTATAAGTTTGAGACAAGATACATAGAATATTATTATATGCATTTAGTTGAGAAGCAAACAAATACAAAAAAAAAGAAAAAAACAAACAGTTTGACTATTTTCACATGCTGAAACCAGGATATTAGGTGTTATGTACCATTGTACTGTTTTAGAAGAAGATATAGGAAAGAAAAGAGTAATAAAGAGAGAGAGGGACAAGAAAGAAAAGGAAGGTTGGAGAGGTGTCACAGGATTGGATAAGGGCTTATTGTTCAATTTTGTGTAAATTTTTGTACATAGGCTACTTTTAACAGGAATTACATTGGTACTATATTATTATAATTAATTTACATTTCAGTTATATGGCCTGCAGTAATCTTTCCCATTTTTTCCATTCCCTTTTAAAATTAGTGAGATAATTTTCACCAATACCTACAGCAATGTATTTTTGAGTATTGTAAATATCTTGAATTAAGGTTTTTCAAAGCTTAAACTGATAGACCAGTTTGCAGACATCTAGCCTTATGAATATATAGTTTAATGCTAAGAAGTACTAAATTATCAACATTGTTTTTTCTATCAAAGAAACCAAAGATAAAAGATTCTTTACTAAAAGCAAATGGAATTAATAACACATCTAGCAATGATTCAAAATCTGTTAAAAACACTTGTACTTCTTTACATTCCCATAATGCATGAACTATAGTTTCTGTGTCAGTTTTACAATGAAAACAATATGGACTTTTAACAAGACCTATTTTATAAGGATATGAATTAGTAGTTAAAATATGTTGATTGATTCTAAATTGAAGACACTGTAGTTTTGTGTTTTTACTAATTTTGAAGGGAATGGTATAGATTTTCTTCCCTATCTCTGTGTTAAATTCAAATATTTCCTCCCACTTCTTTCTGCTGGTAGATATTGTATTATTTTGGCACAGGGTTAAATGCCTTAAAACTCGGCAAAGTTTGATGACCACTTTCAGTTGACCCCATTTGGCAGAGTTATGGCCCCTTGAATAACGAAAAACGTCATTAACTGCCGCGCTTTGTTTCCGTGCAATAACTACAACAAATGTTAACCGATTTTCTTCAAACTTGGTCACAGGGTTAAATACCTTAAGGGCTCGGCCAAGTTCGATGACCACTTTCAGCGGAATTTATTTGGAAGAGTTATGGCCCCTTGAAAAACGTCATTATCTGCTGCGTTTCTGTTCATTAACTCTGTCAAATATTATCAGATTGTCTTCAAACTTCATAGCAGGGTTCAACGCATTAAGGGCTCAGCCAAGTATGACAACTACTTAATCGGATTCCATTTGGCATTTGGACTCCATTTGGCAGAGTTATGGCCCCTTGATCAACGAAAAAAATCATTTTCTGCAGTTTCTGCTTAATAACTCTTGCAAATATTAGTCAAATTACTTCAAACTTGATAACAATGTTTGTGTTCCTCTGTCTTTCCACTCATCTCGGGCACTCTTTGGTTTTTCGTGTGATCATTTCTGTAGACAAATAAATCAAAGTGCCGAGAGCACTCATGGATGCTGTGTATGAAGGATTCAAATAATGGAATAAAGTAGGTGGTATATCAGTAAAGAATGGCAGTAAATATTAAACAAAATGTTGTTGAGTAAGAGTCATAATAGCCCATCCCTTAACCATAATTTTCAATAAAAATATATATAACAAGCAGAGTATTGCTAAAACAATTGAAGCTTGTCTGATATTATGGTCCTTAATTAGTGTTTCAAATCGATGGAAATCCTTCAAGCGCAGACAATGATCTTTTTAAAAATAGTAGCAGTGTGACCTTGACCAGACAACCCTGCAAACCAAAATTGTCCCGTAAGATTATGGGAAAGTTTATGATTGAATAAAAATTTTTATATAGATAATATAAATAAATAATTATGATATTATTATTACAATTTGTTTATATTATCATGATTAATTACATGTATACAAAAAATTAAAACGAGATTGAATTATTTCCAGTGCGTGTAATCGCTAGCGCGCATTATGTTGTTTGCTTGCAAAGCTGTGTCATTCAAAAAGATCATAAATACCATACAAAAACAGTTCAATGCTTAAATATAATTATTCAGTTTCTGGTTAATGTGAATAATATTTATATACGGTTTTAATTTTTGACGTTCAATATGCTATATTCACGAAGCACTTGTATTATACTAATCGGGCCATTATCTAGAGACTGTATTGGGAAGCTATCTACAAACTCAATAGGCACAGCTGCTGACGGCTACTTTAGTATAAGTCAACATTCTCTTTCACTTGGAGACTTTCCATTGAGACAAAGAAAACACAAAGCCTACTTTATCAAGGACAGTTATGAAACGGTCGTTCAACAAGTCACGAGCATGAAACTATGCAATGATGGGCAAGGGGAGAAAACTCTTACACACAAACTTGAGAGTATTGGAATACGAGGCGTAGTAATTTGAATATAGTTCGGAACTTTCACTGATTAAAAACGCCACTGTTAAAGATCTTTACATATTTTCTTTGATTTTTTTGTCTTATACAGATATATTTCACCATATCATAGCATTGATCATATCATATCATTATCTAAATATTTCGCGGAAGGAGAAAAGGGTAGTTGTTTTTTTTTGTGAAGAAATTATTCGGTCCAAAAAGCGTAGTAATCTGAGATTGATATAGTGCATGATGCTCACTGAAAAAAACATTTTTCTTTGATTTATTGATCGTTTTCATATGTATTTCATCATTTTCTAGCATTAATCATACCATGAAATAATCAACACAGCATTTAAGGATCTTCCGCGGAAGAAGAAAGTATGTTGTTTGGTTTTGATTTGCCCAGGCTTGGCGAGTACCGCTATGAATGCTGTACACAGCATCCAATAAAATAAATATACAACATTTGATATAGCGCCCTATCTAGCTAATTTAAGCCACTCTAAAACGCTTTACAGTACATAGATATACACTTTAATACAATGAATACATTTAGCATTTACATTAAACAATACAATTTTGAGGAATTCGTAGGAGCTGCCTTATAAGGCGCTAACTACTGGTCCTATACCACCTGGCTAATATCTCCCTATGTGTGTAAGCCTGCGTGTGTGCTGGAGATGTATTATGTTCTGTTTGTAGTGGGACTGTACTTCCAACGGTTTCATTTATAGTGCCACCTCACTTGAATGCCACAGCACAGATACCGCAACATCCACCCCAGACCATTTTATACTCCACCTGGGTTGTTGGAGTTGTTGGAGATATTGTTCAGATGTTTCAACCAAATTCTGTATGCACATCTGACTCATGCTAAGTTTGCCAACCGATGTGATTTGTGCATATTTACAGATAATCAATGAGGTATAGGGCTTTTTTTTATGTCTCAACAGCACGATATGCACATGTTTAAACCTAACCTCAATAAAGTTAACCTAAAATATGGCCTGCAAGCGGGGGATATAAATTCCACGAATTTGCTTGTTTCACTTCCTTTGGCCTTTTGGTGCAACCATGATGACATTTTGGACAGGATCTATATTGAAATTATTATTACAGGTGACATTTCCCCAGAAGAATTATTTAACATGTTTTTCGGAGGAGGATTTCCTACAAGTAAGTTATGTCTGACACATCTTTAACTGATGCATTTCTTGTAAACTTATTTGCAGTCTGGCTATAAACAGTTATATGTACATGTGTTAACAATGATACACTGTTCAAATGGCAAATAGAATCTTTTGCCATGTTGTGGATCTTACTAAATTATGCAATAAAATAATCAATATTTTTTTTTCATTTTTCAAAAGTAAAGAATTGATTGCTTCATTTGCACAATTAAATGTTTTATTCAATGTATTTTAATTGATGTAAATAGCATTCACATAATAACTCCGACTGTAAATATCTTAATTTCTGACTTTAATGTTTTCAGACAATGTGTACACAACACACAGACCAAGACATGCACATCAGCACCATCAGCACCACCGCACCACAAATGTCTCCAACGATGTAAGTCTGTAGTACTAGCAGTGTATTATATAGGTCTCCAACGATGTAAGTCTGTAGTACTAGCAGTGTAATATATAGGTCTCCAACGATGTAAGTCAGTAACAGTGTATTATATAGGTCTCCAACGATGTAAGTCTGTAGTACTAGCAGTGTATTATATAGGTATCCAATGATGTAAGTCTGTAGTACTAGCAGTGTATTTTATAGGTCTCCAATGATGTAAGTCTGTACTACTAGCAGTGTATTATATAGGTCTCCAATGATGTAAGTCTGTAGTACTAGCAGTGTATTATATAGGTCTCCAACGATGTAAGTCTGTAGTACTAGCAGTGTATTATATAGGTCTCCAACGATGTAAGTCTGTAGTACTAGCAGTGTATTATATAGGTCTCCAACGATGTAAGTCTGTAGTACTAGCAGTGTATTATATAGGTCTCCAACGATGTAAGTCTGTAGTACTAGCAGTGTATTATATAGGTCTCCAACGATGTAAGTCTGTAGTACTAGCAGTGTATTATATAGGTCTCCAACGATGTAAGTCTGTAGTACTAGCAGTGTATTATATAGGTCTCCAACGATGTAAGTCTGTAGTACTAGCAGTGTATTATATAGGTCTCCAACGATGTAAGTCTGTAGTACTAGCAGTGTATTATATAGGTCTCCAACGATGTAAGTCTGTAGTACTAGCAGTGTATTATATAGGTCTCCAACGATGTAAGTCTGTAGTACTAGCAGTGTATTATATAGGTCTCCAACGATGTAAGTCTGTAGTACTAGCAGTGTATTATATAGGTCTCCAACGATGTAAGTCTGTAGTACTAGCAGTGTATTATATAGGTCTCCAACGATGTAAGTCTGTAGTACTAGCAGTGTATTATATAGGTCTCCAACGATGTAAGTCTGTAGTACTAGCAGTGTATTATATAGGTCTCCAACGATGTAAGTCTGTAGTACTAGCAGTGTATTATATAGGTCTCCAACGATGTAAGTCTGTAGTACTAGCAGTGTATTATATAGGTCTCCAACGATGTAAGTCTGTAGTACTAGCAGTGTATTATATAGGTCTCCAACGATGTAAGTCTGTAGTACTAGCAGTGTATTATATAGGTCTCCAACGATGTAAGTCTGTAGTACTAGCAGTGTATTATATAGGTCTCCAACGATGTAAGTCTGTAGTACTAGCAGTGTATTATATAGGTCTCCAACGATGTAAGTCTGTAGTACTAGCAGTGTATTATATAGGTCTCCAACGATGTAAGTCTGTAGTACTAGCAGTGTATTATATAGGTCTCCAACGATGTAAGTCTGTAGTACTAGCAGTGTATTATATAGGTCTCCAACGATGTAAGTCTGTAGTACTAGCAGTGTATTATATAGGTCTCCAACGATGTAAGTCTGTAGTACTAGCAGTGTATTATATAGGTCTCCAACGATGTAAGTCTGTAGTACTAGCAGTGTATTATATAGGTCTCCAACGATGTAAGTCTGTAGTACTAGCAGTGTATTATATAGGTCTCCAACGATGTAAGTCTGTAGTACTAGCAGTGTATTATATAGGTCTCCAACGATGTAAGTCTGTAGTACTAGCAGTGTATTATATAGGTCTCCAACGATGTAAGTCTGTAGTACTAGCAGTGTATTATATAGGTCTCCAACGATGTAAGTCTGTAGTACTAGCAGTGTATTATATAGGTCTCCAACGATGTAAGTCTGTAGTACTAGCAGTGTATTATATAGGTCTCCAACGATGTAAGTCTGTAGTACTAGCAGTGTATTATATAGGTCTCCAACGATGTAAGTCTGTAGTACTAGCAGTGTATTATATAGGTCTCCAACGATGTAAGTCTGTAGTACTAGCAGTGTATTATATAGGTCTCCAACGATGTAAGTCTGTAGTACTAGCAGTGTATTATATAGGTCTCCAACGATGTAAGTCTGTAGTACTAGCAGTGTATTATATAGGTCTCCAACGATGTAAGTCTGTAGTACTAGCAGTGTATTATATAGGTCTCCAACGATGTAAGTCTGTAGTACTAGCAGTGTATTATATAGGTCTCCAACGATGTAAGTCTGTAGTACTAGCAGTGTATTATATAGGTCTCCAACGATGTAAGTCTGTAGTACTAGCAGTGTATTATATAGGTCTCCAACGATGTAAGTCTGTAGTACTAGCAGTGTATTATATAGGTCTCCAACGATGTAAGTCTGTAGTACTAGCAGTGTATTATATAGGTCTCCAACGATGTAAGTCTGTAGTACTAGCAGTGTATTATATAGGTCTCCAACGATGTAAGTCTGTAGTACTAGCAGTGTATTATATAGGTCTCCAACGATGTAAGTCTGTAGTACTAGCAGTGTATTATATAGGTCTCCAACGATGTAAGTCTGTAGTACTAGCAGTGTATTATATAGGTCTCCAACGATGTAAGTCTGTAGTACTAGCAGTGTATTATATAGGTCTCCAACGATGTAAGTCTGTAGTACTAGCAGTGTATTATATAGGTCTCCAACGATGTAAGTCTGTAGTACTAGCAGTGTATTATATAGGTCTCCAACGATGTAAGTCTGTAGTACTAGCAGTGTATTATATAGGTCTCCAACGATGTAAGTCTGTAGTACTAGCAGTGTATTATATAGGTCTCCAACGATGTAAGTCTGTAGTACTAGCAGTGTATTATATAGGTCTCCAACGATGTAAGTCTGTAGTACTAGCAGTGTATTATATAGGTCTCCAACGATGTAAGTCTGTAGTACTAGCAGTGTATTATATAGGTCTCCAACGATGTAAGTCTGTAGTACTAGCAGTGTATTATATAGGTCTCCAACGATGTAAGTCTGTAGTACTAGCAGTGTATTATATAGGTCTCCAACGATGTAAGTCTGTAGTACTAGCAGTGTATTATATAGGTCTCCAACGATGTAAGTCTGTAGTACTAGCAGTGTATTATATAGGTCTCCAACGATGTAAGTCTGTAGTACTAGCAGTGTATTATATAGGTCTCCAACGATGTAAGTCTGTAGTACTAGCAGTGTATTATATAGGTCTCCAACGATGTAAGTCTGTAGTACTAGCAGTGTATTATATAGGTCTCCAACGATGTAAGTCTGTAGTACTAGCAGTGTATTATATAGGTCTCCAACGATGTAAGTCTGTAGTACTAGCAGTGTATTATATAGGTCTCCAACGATGTAAGTCTGTAGTACTAGCAGTGTATTATATAGGTCTCCAACGATGTAAGTCTGTAGTACTAGCAGTGTATTATATAGGTCTCCAACGATGTAAGTCTGTAGTACTAGCAGTGTATTATATAGGTCTCCAACGATGTAAGTCTGTAGTACTAGCAGTGTATTATATAGGTCTCCAACGATGTAAGTCTGTAGTACTAGCAGTGTATTATATAGGTCTCCAACGATGTAAGTCTGTAGTACTAGCAGTGTATTATATAGGTCTCCAACGATGTAAGTCTGTAGTACTAGCAGTGTATTATATAGGTCTCCAACGATGTAAGTCTGTAGTACTAGCAGTGTATTATATAGGTCTCCAACGATGTAAGTCTGTAGTACTAGCAGTGTATTATATAGGTCTCCAACGATGTAAGTCTGTAGTACTAGCAGTGTATTATATAGGTCTCCAACGATGTAAGTCTGTAGTACTAGCAGTGTATTATATAGGTCTCCAACGATGTAAGTCTGTAGTACTAGCAGTGTATTATATAGGTCTCCAACGATGTAAGTCTGTAGTACTAGCAGTGTATTATATAGGTCTCCAACGATGTAAGTCTGTAGTACTAGCAGTGTATTATATAGGTCTCCAACGATGTAAGTCTGTAGTACTAGCAGTGTATTATATAGGTCTCCAACGATGTAAGTCTGTAGTACTAGCAGTGTATTATATAGGTCTCCAACGATGTAAGTCTGTAGTACTAGCAGTGTATTATATAGGTCTCCAACGATGTAAGTCTGTAGTACTAGCAGTGTATTATATAGGTCTCCAACGATGTAAGTCTGTAGTACTAGCAGTGTATTATATAGGTCTCCAACGATGTAAGTCTGTAGTACTAGCAGTGTATTATATAGGTCTCCAACGATGTAAGTCTGTAGTACTAGCAGTGTATTATATAGGTCTCCAACGATGTAAGTCTGTAGTACTAGCAGTGTATTATATAGGTCTCCAACGATGTAAGTCTGTAGTACTAGCAGTGTATTATATAGGTCTCCAACGATGTAAGTCTGTAGTACTAGCAGTGTATTATATAGGTCTCCAACGATGTAAGTCTGTAGTACTAGCAGTGTATTATATAGGTCTCCAACGATGTAAGTCTGTAGTACTAGCAGTGTATTATATAGGTCTCCAACGATGTAAGTCTGTAGTACTAGCAGTGTATTATATAGGTCTCCAACGATGTAAGTCTGTAGTACTAGCAGTGTATTATATAGGTCTCCAACGATGTAAGTCTGTAGTACTAGCAGTGTATTATATAGGTCTCCAACGATGTAAGTCTGTAGTACTAGCAGTGTATTATATAGGTCTCCAACGATGTAAGTCTGTAGTACTAGCAGTGTATTATATAGGTCTCCAACGATGTAAGTCTGTAGTACTAGCAGTGTATTATATAGGTCTCCAACGATGTAAGTCTGTAGTACTAGCAGTGTATTATATAGGTCTCCAACGATGTAAGTCTGTAGTACTAGCAGTGTATTATATAGGTCTCCAACGATGTAAGTCTGTAGTACTAGCAGTGTATTATATAGGTCTCCAACGATGTAAGTCTGTAGTACTAGCAGTGTATTATATAGGTCTCCAACGATGTAAGTCTGTAGTACTAGCAGTGTATTATATAGGTCTCCAACGATGTAAGTCTGTAGTACTAGCAGTGTATTATATAGGTCTCCAACGATGTAAGTCTGTAGTACTAGCAGTGTATTATATAGGTCTCCAACGATGTAAGTCTGTAGTACTAGCAGTGTATTATATAGGTCTCCAACGATGTAAGTCTGTAGTACTAGCAGTGTATTATATAGGTCTCCAACGATGTAAGTCTGTAGTACTAGCAGTGTATTATATAGGTCTCCAACGATGTAAGTCTGTAGTACTAGCAGTGTATTATATAGGTCTCCAACGATGTAAGTCTGTAGTACTAGCAGTGTATTATATAGGTCTCCAACGATGTAAGTCTGTAGTACTAGCAGTGTATTATATAGGTCTCCAACGATGTAAGTCTGTAGTACTAGCAGTGTATTATATAGGTCTCCAACGATGTAAGTCTGTAGTACTAGCAGTGTATTATATAGGTCTCCAACGATGTAAGTCTGTAGTACTAGCAGTGTATTATATAGGTCTCCAACGATGTAAGTCTGTAGTACTAGCAGTGTATTATATAGGTCTCCAACGATGTAAGTCTGTAGTACTAGCAGTGTATTATATAGGTCTCCAACGATGTAAGTCTGTAGTACTAGCAGTGTATTATATAGGTCTCCAACGATGTAAGTCTGTAGTACTAGCAGTGTATTATATAGGTCTCCAACGATGTAAGTCTGTAGTACTAGCAGTGTATTATATAGGTCTCCAACGATGTAAGTCTGTAGTACTAGCAGTGTATTATATAGGTCTCCAACGATGTAAGTCTGTAGTACTAGCAGTGTATTATATAGGTCTCCAACGATGTAAGTCTGTAGTACTAGCAGTGTATTATATAGGTCTCCAACGATGTAAGTCTGTAGTACTAGCAGTGTATTATATAGGTCTCCAACGATGTAAGTCTGTAGTACTAGCAGTGTATTATATAGGTCTCCAACGATGTAAGTCTGTAGTACTAGCAGTGTATTATATAGGTCTCCAACGATGTAAGTCTGTAGTACTAGCAGTGTATTATATAGGTCTCCAACGATGTAAGTCTGTAGTACTAGCAGTGTATTATATAGGTCTCCAATGATGTAAGTCTGTAGTACTAGCAGTGTATTATATAGGTCTCCAATGATGTAAGTCTGTAGTACTAGCAGTGTATTATATAGGTCTCCAATGATGTAAGTCTGTAGTACTCACAGTGTTTTATATAGGTCTGCAGTGATGTTAGTCTGTAACAGTGTATTTTATGGGTCTGGAGTGATGTTAGTCTATAACAGTGTATTGTACGGGTCTGTAGTGATATAAATCTGTAATAGTGTATTATATGGGTCTGTAGTGATATAAATCTGTAACAGTATATTATATGGGTCTGTAGTGATGTAAGTGTGTAACAGTGTATTATATGGGTCTGCTGTGATGTAAGTCTATAACAGTGATGTCTGTAACAGTGTATTATATGGATCTGAAGTTATATAAATTTGTAATAGTGTATTATATGGGTCTGCAGTGATGTTAGTCTATAACAGTGTATTGTACGAGTCTGTAGTGATATAAATTTGTAACAGTGTATTATATGGGTCTGCTGTGATGTTAGTCTATAACAGTGATGTCTGTAACAGTGTATCATAGGGATCCAATAAAGCAAGTTTTTAGCAGTGTATTTTTAAGTATTTGGGTATTTGGGGTGCTATGAATATCATAGACATTTGTTTAGTAAAAACAGAATATCATCAAATCTTGTTTTAACAATGCAATATCAGTCTCAAAACCAAATAAGAGCTGATTTCCAAGTGTCCTTGGCACAAATGTAGATGGTAATCTTTGTTTAAAATATTCATGACATGTTTGATACCTGTACTTACAGAACATCTGTTTCCATTACAGGGAAGCTACACTTTGCTACTGCAGTTAACACCAATTATCTTACTAGTCCTTCTGTCACTTCTTAGTAGTTTCTTTGTCAGCGATCCACTGTTCAACATGCATAAAACAGAGTAAGTGATGACATATATCTACCGATTCATAACAATGTTACGCATTACTCATCTTGAGGTTGCTAGCATCAAATTTGTAATAATTACATCATCCTCACTTTCGCTCTCTACACCCCTGGAATATGTCATAGCAAAATTGGAGGCTCGTTGTGTGCCAACTTGTTGATGAGACAAGAAGACTAGTTCAACCCTTTGATATACATCAAAAGACTCTCGCGGTCACGTAAAAATCGACAGGCTGTGAAGTCGGGCATCTCTCCATTGTAATCCTCAAAGGACAGGTATCAGCCTAGCGATTGGTCAGGTTTTTTTTTACCCGAGACCAAACAAACAGGTATCTTCGTGCCTTCAATTTTACTATGACATATTCCAGGGGTGTAGAGAGCGAAAGTGAGCGTAACCCCTGGATATCGAGGATGTCATTACATGTAAAGTTTGTATTTGTCTCCTGTGGATTTTCATAATCGGCTACTAAATTTTTCATTATCATAGATACTATTAACAAATTTTCAATTATATATTTAATTTTCTAATGGAAACAAAACATTTTGATATGTACATTGTATGTATTTGATTTGAACAAGTACCTGGATAATTAGAAATAAGTTTTTAAGTTGTTGAAAGACTTTTAAAAGGTTCCCCTCAATGCATGAAAAAAAATTGAGCATAAGGTTATTAGTTATTGACAATATAAATTACTTATGCATGGTATTATATAAATCCATAATACTGTATTTTAGAATCATCAATGCAATGACTTAAGATTTAAATTATGAATAAACCTCTATTTCATTCTTTCTTTGTAGTAAATATACTTTTCAGAGAAAAACAGGAAATCTTCAAGTTCCATATTATGTTAAAAAAGATTTTCGAGTTGAATTCAAGAGTGATTTACGACGGTTAGAACGGCAAGTAGAGGAAGAACATATATCATCATTACGCCAAAACTGTTGGAGGGAGAGAAGCTATAGTAAGTACATAAAAAACTGATGAATTAACACCAGAATTTACATAAGTTGAGTGAATGAATTAACATGAACATGTCATCATTATGGACCGATTAAAATTTGTTTGTTACAATCAGTTTAGATAACCAGTGTTGTACTGGTCAGTACAGTAGGGTTAAGAGGAAGCATACAAATAAATCGGTGATTATGTATTTCTTATTTATTAAACGATATTGAATGGCCCAACTGTGCAACAGTTCTATCCAAAACAAAATTAAGGGAAGGTTACAATTTGTAGAAAAAAAACAGTGCAGGGGGTGAAATCCTTAAAGAGGGCATTAGGTTTCTCACTCAGATACCTAGAGAATGTTGAATTTGTCATTCTGTCAGACGAACATTATTACACACATGTATTATGAAACAGTTGTTGTGATTGATCAACAGTTGGTCATCAATCATTTTTGTATATTGTGATATGCGATCATTAATATAATTTCCATTTAATGTTTCACTTTAAAACCTTGTACCATGTTATTCACTTTATGTTTTGTAGAAGAGAATATGCTTTGGAGAGCAAGGAATTATGCAGACGCAAGATTGTATGAAAAAGCTAGTAACTTAGAGACTCCTTCATGTGATCAGTTGAACAAGATATATTCTTCATGATACCTCTTGTTAAACAAGCGTGATCGGAATGTGATGTTGGTTCCTTTTTCAATTTCCCTGTGATGACGGAATGGAACTGTTGGTTCCCTGTGGCCCTAACGACCAACCCACGGAGTTGTGAATTCTTGATGACATGAAACATGTCAGGTTTGAGTTTTATTGTTATCAGAGACATGCCTGTGTGTAATATAAAGATGTATGACCGGGTGAAATCAGTAAGGACAAAGTATTGAAACAGTGTAGCACATGTGTACCTTAACTTTAACATGGCTCATCAGGTTGAGGGTTTCCTGTATTGTGATTAGTAATATTGACATAAACACCAGTTTTAGAGGTTCCAAAACATTTTCTCTCGTGAGTGCAGCCCTGGGTCATTAATTCTTCTCGGACTAGAGGCAATAACTGTAGTGTAGGATCTAGAGGTGATTGTAAATTACAAAGTGTGTTTAGATGAATTTTGAATAGATGTTTGTGGTTTACAGTACTTGTATGCCTTTTCCAGTTCTATGGTCCAATATATATTGCACACAAAGCCTTAACATTTTTGTGTACTCCCAGATAGCTCCACAAGTTGTATAACAAGATCAGAGTTATGTAAACTCTTTACATATGTCCCATTTTGGTATGAAGGAGGAAAGTTGTTCAAGTATTGCAAAAATTTAAATCATTTTTCATTTTGACAGCAAATCTGTTCTCATGTTATCCTGAGTATTGAAGTTGAACAGTTGTTATGTTTAAATGGGCAGTAGAATTGGAGGTGAAAGTGATACCAATTCCTCATCTTTTAACTTTTTGCAAAAAAGACAAACTTCTGTTGAGTTGATAGGTCTTTGTTGATATACATGCATGATCCGATATACATATGATATTATGACATGTTTCTGGTAACTTTAAAATTGTGGATGTGTTAATGAAAATCAGGGATTCTCTTTAATTGTCCAGACTAGACAGTGTGACCTGAATGTCTTGTGTGAATGAAAGAGGAATGTGGACGAGGTGTTGTGTGACAACCTGTGTGGTTTCGTGTGTATGTATGGAGATTTATTTTTGTGTTCAATGATGTTAGTATGTATCTTTATGATTTACCTGGTAAGTGAAATGTTGAACACATGTACATTAAATGTAAATACAAAGTGCTCGAGTAGATAACCACATGCGAAAGTACTGGCTACATAAGTAACAAAGTGTATTTTACGTTGTCATCGATCGTAAGTGTTCATATTTTATTTGGTGTCGCATGTAACTTTATACCAATACCAGTCACGTGTTACTTTTCCAGATTAAATATCGTTTCGATTTTTTAAATGGTATAAATTACCCAAGTTTGATCATATGTTATGTTGAAATGTGCCTGAAAAAGTGACTGTTGGGGAGTTAAATTCACTGATGAATACTCTCAGTAGCTTTACATCTTGTAGTATGCTTGATGAATACTACATTACTTCATCGGGTAGAATTAGGAGGAGGTAACCAGAGGTTCTACAAATATTAATCTGATGATCATCATGCATTTAAGGCATTCCAGGTTTTCACTTTTACAAAATAGGTCTCAAAAGTAGGAGAATGTTAAAGAAAGACTAAACAGAGACCCTGATACTTTGTGTGTAAGCAGATAGTGTATTAGTCATGATTGCTAGAGAATGTCGTATGTGAATGTTGTATTGATATGAATGTTCATGTATTGAGCAAAGGTAATTTTCAGTTTTCAAAGATAGTAATTAATATATGATTTTTATTATCCTGTCTGTAACTTTCTTCAGTTAATTGATTTTTGTAAATAAGAAAAAGTTTTTATTTATAAGTTAGTGTCAGTGGTGATCTTTTGTATAAATGTTACATATTTGTGCAATCATTCTTTTGCTAGATGGTCAAATAAAATTGGTATATAACAACTATTTATATTGATAACTTATTATGCAAAACAAATCTTTTAAACAGAGAATCCAATCACACACATTTACCTCCCCTAGGTAGCTAGAATGGCGATGACACACACATCGCATATATGAAATGGGAGATGACTGGCATTAGTTTAAATCCTCATAAAGAAATTAGTTAGGGACTAAATCAGTTTGGACTGATAATGGTTATTATTTTAATGTTGTCTATATTACTTGACATTAGCTGTGTGATTAACATTCTTTTTTAGCCCTTTTCACCTTAAATTTCAAAACTCAACTTCCTTACATGTGACAGTTTAAGTAGCTATGTGTACAATGAAGGCATTGTTGGACATTATGGGACAAGTTATATTTCGTAAAAAAAAAATCATAAGATTTTTCATGATGAAGAAATACTTGAAGCACAACATGTTTTTTTCGAAATTTCTTTTTGTTTGAAAGTAGCAGAATATGGTGGCCAATCCATGCTTCTATAACATGTATGTCCATTTTGTAATTTCATGTCTGTCAGTTATCCATGATTTTTTTTTTTTCACCTGTACTTTTCATATCCGAATAAGTTTTTAAAGTCCTTACTATTTGGTTGTTTACACTTAAACAAGTAAAGTACATCAAATCAAAGAGACTTTTTGTTTTTATATGGAGTTTCCTGATTTACTGATGTTTTAGTTCTATTAATGACTGGTGGATTCTGGAATTTTAGAAATGTTAGATTGTCACTTTTTATATTGAAGGACAGGATTGAATGAAAACATTTTCCATTTAATTCATCAAGTGAATGCAGTACATTTGTTTTCTTACTAAAATAATATTTCAGCGAATATGTACATAAAATGAATATTTAACAGTTATAGATCTTACGTGGTAATTAATCTGCCATTTTCTTCTGTAAAATTTGTATATCCATGTTTTTACACAGTCAAATTACAAATGATAAAATTTTATAAAAATAAATTATAAAAAGGGTATAAAATATCAATACTAGCCCTTGTGGGGTTTGTACAATCTTATAAGGTACATGTATATAGAGCACATGTATATATCTCATCAGTGTACCTTGGTGATTGTGTATGTGTCTTGTCCACCCTTTGTTTACAGTGTTGATTCACTGTCAATAAACTACACTCCAGAATCGTACCATTATATCATTTGTTGTTGTTGATGAGCAGCAGAGCCGCAAAATCAAGACTGACCTGGACAGTAGAGTACTCAGTAGTTTGTTACCTGAACAGATGGTATGTGTTGATCTTTAAGATATATAAAGTAATTTTGTCTCTTCCTGTATTTTCATCTATTTTACTCAAAATGGGTAATTGTTCAATTATTGGTATTGGCTGGAGAGAACTAAGGCCTGCTCTAGAAAAGTGTGATGCTGATATAATGGACACAAGTGTATGAAGACATCAATTTTACATGGTGATAAAGCTGAATTATCTGAATACTGTTCATATTGCAAATGTTTGCAAATTATCCTGTCATCATGTTGAGAAAACAGGTTACCTGGACTTAAAACAATCGTTGGAAAACGTTTTCATTATCACTGCAAATATTTCAATAAAAGAAAAAAAACGATCAGCAGTTCAAGAGGAGTAGACTTTCATAGTTATCAATATTTCTTCATTTTGTTCACAACACCTTCGAGAGTCCAAGTGATCAAGAAGGCTTCATCAATCATGGGAAATGTGGTTTAGGTATGTATGTACCAACATGTGCATATTGTTATTGTTCCCGTGTTATAACTTGGGGATTAATCTCCTGGAAGGTAGGAATCTCAATTATTCCCGATACTATTATGCAGAACCTGAGGTTTTAAGGAACTAGACCAAAGACCAATCTTAGTGGCATACAGGTAAGTTTATTTATCTCTTCATGCCAAGCAATTATATACATGGTTGTAGGTTGGGGATTGCATCTTTGTCCATGTCATAACCAAAATATGAATGTATTTGTTTCATATTGTAGAATAATGGTTATTAGGTGGGGATCTAAAGCGCTTTCAACTTATGACCAGATTTCCCTTTTTTATTGGGTTTTATTCCTTATGTAGGATCATGGACCCTGAAGCAAATTCTGGTTCCATTGATACATTTATGTAAAATTATGTTGAGCATGGGTATACAGGTATGTGGTTGTAGGGTGTGGATCTTTACAGTTTCCAAGTTATGACCCATATTATCTATGGGGCCCTGCCCCTGGGGTGGGGATGGAACCCAGAAACTAATGCCTTCACAAGCATAAAATAGGTGTATAATGTTTAACCTCATCCAAACAGACCCAGATAATTTTAACTAAATAGGATGCAGTAAAACTATCCAGTATGTAATCTAGACAGACCCAGAGTCTTATCTGGCCACATCGAAGTACTTGTAATCTAGACAGACCCAGAGTCTTATCGGGCCACATCGAAGTACCTGTAATCGAGGTAAACCCAGAGTCTTATCGGGCCACATCGAGTACCTGTAATCGAAGTTAACCCAGAAATCCTATCGGGCAACAGTGAAGTACCTGTAATCGGGGTAAACCCAGAGTCTTATCGGGCCACATAGAAGTACCTGTAATCGAGGTAAACCCAGAGTCTCATCGGGCCACATCGAGTACCCGTAATCGAAGTTAACCCAGGAATCCTATCGGGCAACAGTGAAGTACCTGTAATCGGGGTAAACCCAGAGTCTTATCGGGCCAAATCGAGTACCTGTAATCGACGTTAACCCAGAAATCCTATCGGGCGACAGTGAAGTACCTGTAATCGAGGGAAACCCAGAGTCTTATCGGGCCACATCGAGTACCTGTAATCGAGGTAAACCCAGAAATCATATCGGGCAACAGTGAAGCAGAACTAGGTGATCAAGGTAAACCCAGATATCATATCGGGCAACAGTGAAGCAGAACTAGGGGATCAAGGTAAACCCAGATATCATATCGGGCAACAGTGAAGCAGAACTTGGGGATCAAGGTAAACCTAGAAATCATATCAGGCAACAGTGAAGCAGAACTATGGGATCGAGGTAAACACAGAAATCATATCTGGCAACAGTGAAGCAGAACTATGGGATCGAGGTAAACCTAGAAATCATATCGGGCAAAAGTGAAGCAGAACTATGGGATCGAGGTAAACCCAAAAATCATATCCGGCAACAGTGAAGCAGAACTATGGGATCGAGGTAAACACAGAAATCATATCTGGGAACAGTGAAGTACCTGTAATCGAGGTAAACCCAGAGTCTTATCGGGCCACATCGAGTACCTGTAATCGAGGTAAACCCAGAAATCCTATCGGGCAACAGTGAAGTACCTGTAATCGAGGTAAACTCGGAAATCATATCTGGCAACAGTGAAGTACCTGTAATCGAGGTAAACTCGGAAATCATATCTGGCAACAGTGAAGCAGAACTATGTGATCGAGGTAAACCCAGAAATCATATCGGGCAACAGTGAAGCAGAACTAGGGGATCTACAGAAACCTACAAGCTAGATAGACGCTGCTAGTCATAGGTGAAGGTGAAACAACATCTGGTAACAATGATGGAGGACTAACCCAGTTAGTCATACCGCATATCAGTTAACACTCCTGTGTATGTCATGCATTCCATTTTAAATAATATACATAATTAAAGTCTTTTAATGAGGCTGATACAATGTTTTATTTCATCTTTAATTTAGTGGTAACAAATAATTCAAGCAATTGCAAAACAAGATGTATTAGTCAGTATTTAAAGTATTAAAACATGTTGAAGCATTTAGCAGCATAAGGAACCCATATCAGGACATGTACTGATGCAGTTTAACATTTTCAGACCTGAAACAGGGCCAAAGTTTTATCTCACTCTCACTGGTCCTATATAACCTTTACAGACCTGCAGCTGGCCATGGACTAGAAGTCTACCCTCTGAATGACAAAATGAAAGTTTGACAGAACCAGGCAAGGCCAAAACAAAAAGTCTACTTTCACACTGATACAATAACACCTTGCAATGACCAAAGCTCTACTCTCTCACTAATACAACAATAGTACTTTGGCAGACTTCTACCAGGACCGAAGTTTTAGTCTCACGCTAATCAGATAAAACTTTGGCAGACCTGGACCAGGACCAAATTCTACAACAGCATGCAATAAAATATACATTTTCCATAACATTGACGATCAATCACAGGTTTTCTTCATGCTTTATGAACCTTCATAAAACAAACCAAAAATATCCATTGGTGACTTTGCAACTACATAATACATGTAGTGTGATTACCAACAAAAATAAGTTATTCATCACAGTTAACACAAAACATCCTGATTCAGAGTCATTCATCAATCTCTGTATTTTTCTTGTCTGTGTGTATAAGGTAATCTAATGTCATTCCCGATGTGTCCACTTGTCTGTGATAGGTGTGTATAAGGTAATCTAATGTCATTCCCGATGTGTCCACTTGTCTGTGATAGGTGTGTATAAGGTAATCTAATGTCATTCCCGATGTGTCCACTTGTCTGTGATAGGTGTGTATAAGGTAATCTAATGTCATTCCCGATGTGTCCACTTGTCTGTGATAGGTGTGTATAAGGTAATCTAATGTCATTCCCGATGTGTCCACTTGTCTGTGATAGGTGTGTATAAGGTAATCTAATGTCATTCCCGATGTGTCCACTTGTCTGTGATAGGTGTGTATAAGGTAATCTAATGTCATTCCCGATGTGTCCACTTGTCTGTGATAGGTGTGTATAAGGTAATCTAATGTCATTCCCGATGTGTCCACTTGTCTGTGATAGGTGTGTATAAGGTAATCTAATGTCATTCCCGATGTGTCCACTTGTCTGTGATAGGAACGTGTGCTATTCCATGTCGTCTCCTATGTCTAGGTACACATCGTATGCCTCCCTGTTACAGTTGCCATCGGTGGTGAACACATATTTATGGAAAGTACCATCCACACACACAGCTGTAAACATAAAGGTCAGTACATTTGATAACCGATATGACCAATAACTACGGAATTACCACGTTTGCATTTTTTTCCAACAAATTTAAATTTATACAGTTACTGAGGTAAAAAGTGAAAAAGAAATTCAAAACTTGTTCTAATTAACACTGCAAAACTTTTTGCTCGGGCAAATATTTGTCCTTCACTGATGAAATTCATATTTACCAACTGTAAATTTCGCCATTCATGCTACTATACAGTAGATGATATATATGCTGTACACTAATATTCAATGTCATGATAATTTCACTCTAAAATCCTGGGGGCGAAATAAATTTGAACTGCTGAGAAATTTCCAATATACAGTATATAATTACTCTTTATATTTGTGGTAATTTTGTGGCTAACAGTTTTTACCTATGACTGAATGTCCAGGTCCAAAAGCACAGGTACAGGCACATTCAGCAGCTACAGTGAAGCTGGCCAGTCCCCACTGAGACTCCACATATGTCCCTAGGAACCCCATCTGTTTGAAGCTGTGGAATAAATATCAATCAGTACAGGTTGTCATTGGAACATGATTCCAAAAGATATTTTACAAAAAATATCATTATATTGTGCTTTATACACTGAAACAGCACAATAGATCAAAGATAAACTGCACCTCTTTGAATTTATGAATGGAAATACTTTGCATAGAATAAAAGTATGTTACCATGCTACATGCTGTTAAACATTACATATTAATCAGCGGGACACATATAACAGGGGATCGGGGATACATACACTCAAGTACTTTATTACAGGAAATCAGCGGGACACATAACAGGGGATTAGGGATACATACACTCAAGTACTTTATTACAGGAAATCAGCGGGACACATAACAGGGGATTAGGGATACATACAACCAGGTAATTTATGACAGAAAATCAGCGGGACTTTTATAACAGGGGATCAGGGATACATGCACCCACATACTTTATTACAGGAAATCAGCAGCACACAGATATCATTACAATGGATCAGGGTATATACACATCCATAAATAGAATCAGGAGTACACATATAACAGGGGATCAGGGATACATATACTTTATAACAGGGGATCTGGGTTACACATATACATGTACTACAGAAAGTTAGAGGTATACATATAAATTATATACCATTTGAATGAAGAGATCACAGGAAAAGAAAACCTACAAGATCCCTTAAAATAACTCTTCTTGTGGATGAACGTTCTCATTTCTACAACTGCTCTATCCAATATATCTTCAGCTTGTAAACTATACTTACGATGATCTTTTATTCAAATGAGTTTCTTTGACTGCAAATATATGGACTGTGCCTTTGTCACTTGATGCACAGAGGAAAGCTGAGTCATGGCTGAAGGAAATGCTACAAATAAATCAGTATTGTTTTAAATTGTCATGCAGGAATATACACTATGTTTTACTATTTGAATATTTTCACAAAGGCAGTATTTGTTCTATATGTACAAGATACATGATGGTTGAAACTGATTAGCATGGCCATGTCTACACGGTGCAAAATTGATGACAGTCTGACCATAATACAGTAGCCTTTAAACTACAATAGGTTATATAATGACCTCCTTACTAGTATAACATTGCCTGGTGTCTCTAACCATGTCTTCCCTGTCAGTATAAAACGGACATGGTGGCTTTAAACTACAATACATTGATTGTAGTTATATAATAATTTCTTTACCAGTACAACATGGCTGTGTCTGCTCCTCTCCTCAGCTCTACAACTTGTTTTTTGGTCACAAGATCAAACACCCGTATCAGCGTTCCCTGAAACAAGAAACATGTATGTATAAGTATTGTAAAATTCTATAACATATGCACACATAAAACATTAGCATCACAAAATTTCTGTCCCCACAAATAGTAAAGTGTTACCTTTTTAGAGGCAGTCGCCATGAGTGTGCCATTTTGGTTGAGTGCAAGGCAAGCAAGGTCGTTCTGGTGGGCATTGATGGTAATGGGTGAAGAGGACTGGCCAGGCTGGGTCGTCTCTAGGTCCTAGGAAGGACATTTTAATAATGACATTAATGTTTGGAGATATAGTACTTAACATTACTTATTTGACCTGTATTCTCAGTTTAAGAAAATTGGGTACAGGACTTGCTGATTTGATGCAAGATTTGTAAAGTGCTGCAACTCATGGTTTATCCGAAGGTAATGCACTCATTTAAACATGCGCAATTCCTTAACCAAGAACAACAGTCTCTGATCTGTGACAGTGGTTCCAACAAATTTATTTAGAAATACATGTATTAAACATTTTGTTTTCATTTGTTCTTCTGTTTGATAAAATAACAAAATATCTTGAAGAAATTAATTCCACTGTGCCCATGCAAATACTGTTCAGTTTCAGGGTTTACAATTTTCCATCAATAGAAACAGTGCCCTTGATCTTAGTACCCTGAGATACAAACTCATTGGACAAATTCTCACATGCAATGGTTGTATATAATATAGTCTCATACAAAAAATCTGTTTAGACATGCTAACCAAAGCATAACGTTTTATCAAAACCTGTTTAAAAACTGAAGTCACTCTAAAGACATTACACTGAATTGAGACAGAACAGCACGGACACAAGTAACACTATATCCCACCCCAACGACTTTATTCTGTAGTTCTACAAGGATATACATACCACAATCTGAACACTTCCACACTTGTGTCCAGGGAACACCAGTGTTTGTCCAAACCCACTAACCTCACACAGACCTGGTCAAAGTTAAATACATGTACATGTAATCACAATTAATTTATGACTGTTGGACACATCAACACCTTCTCACTCTATCACAAAAGATTATTGTTTCTTGAATTCTCATTTCATATATATAATTGATAACACAGGTATACATGTTCTGCTATATACTGACACAGCAGGGAGTTGAATGGAATGTACATAAATGAATATTCAACCATTACCGCACTGATATTAAATTTAAAATACATAAAATTTCTGTTTTAAATTTTCTCAATAATTTAATCAGAATTTAAACAAGAAAACCCCATCTAATTAAACTCTGTATATCATAATTCAATGACGACTAGCAAACTACTGCCAAAACATATATCGACAACGTAACAACAGTAAACGACCAGTCAACGTTTTATTTGTTGTGCTACCTTGTTGATGGCAAATTCCTTTATGTAAATCATATTATCAATAATACAAAGGTTAAACTAACTAGAACTGTAAGCCACATAAAAGGAGACAATTAAAATTTGATATGTAGGAGCACAAGTGCATGATGCACAGGAACTAGCCTCGTCTGTCAATACACCTATAATATAATCATAGGTGTAGTGACAGACGAGGCTAGTACCTGTGCATGATGTACATATACAGGTAACATGAACAAAGTTTTATTGAAATCTGTTTTTTGGTTAATAACTTCATTCCAGTATACTCTTCTCCTCATCTAACTGTTGAAGAATTGGGGGGGGGGGGGGGGGGGGGAGGATCCTTACTTTGTATCACTCCTACCAATAATATATATATTATATAATTGAAATCAATTGCTATGTACACTGACTGTGTTACAGTTTGGATTATCCCTGGTTCAGTTAGAGGTTATGTATCACAAGGTCTGACATACCTTTTGGATTATCCCTGGTACCAAATGTGAACAACTTCTGGGGTTTATTTGGGAAGCTAAACACATGAACCTGGTTTCGTAACACAACTATCAACCTGTAAAGATGAAAATCATTCTTATTGTTAATGAATTTCAAAGTACTGGATCATCATTTTATAGCTTCATGTGCACTCGTAACTTTACACACTATATCATACAAAACATTACCACACTGTGTCACTAACTTAACACACATCACACAACTTAACACACTATGTCACTAACTTAACACTACCTTAACACACCATCACACAATAACTTAACAAATAATGCCACTAACATACTACAATATGTCACCAACTTAACACACATCACACAACTTAACACACGATGTCACTAACTTAACACTACCTTAATACACATCACATAATAAGTTAACATATAATGCCACTAACATTCTACAATATGTCACCAACTTAACGCACATCACACTATGTCACTAACTTAACAATACCTTAACACACCATCACACAATAACTTAACAAATAATGCCCCTAACATACTACAATATGTCACCAACTCAACACACATCACACAACTTAACACCCTATGTCACTAACTTAACACTACCTTAACCCACCATCACACAACTTAACACACTTTGTCACTAACTTAACACTACCTTAACCCACCATCACACAACTTAACACACTATGTCACTAACTTAACACTACCTACGTTAACACACCATCACACAACTTAACACACTATGTCACTAACTCAACACTACCTTAACACACCATCACACAACTTAACACACTATGTCACTAACTTAACACTACCTTAACACACATCACACAACTTAACACACTATGTCACTAACTTAACACTACCTT